TTGTTGCTTATTCTTATTATTCTGGCCATCTGATCTTCAGTATTCAGCGTAGGCAGTTGTTGATGAATGTCTGTAGTGTGTTGGAAATCCCTTTGGTAACGTGCCAAGTCTCTGAACCATATAACAGCACTGACTTGACATTAATGTTGAAAATTCGGATCTTGTTGGTGCTTTATGCTGAGTCCAGAAGATCTCCATACTGGTTTCAGGCTAATGAAAGCCTGTCTTGCTGTTTTTCCGATACTGGCTGCTTTGACATTATCTGTGCCGCCTCCACCTGTAGTTGAAACAATGGTGTTTTGCCTAGGTAGGTGAAAGAGACAACTTCCTTTAGGTCCCTTTCGTTGATGGTGATTGGTGCTTGTTGTCGATGCTGTTGTTGGTTGGGTATCTTCATCACCTTCGTCTTCTCTACATTCACCCGAAGTCCCGTTTTCGCTGCCTTACCTCTTCTGTCAAATTGTTAGTTTTTGCCTGTAGATTTTCAAGTTTGTGCAACACTAAACCTAAATCATCATCATCGGCGAAATCTAAATCTTCTCCTGCGGTCTTTTCATTAGTCCAGCCTGCGTATGCCCATCTTCTCGATCCTCACAGTTTGTTGCATGGTTTAGTCGAGTCCAGTTGACCACAATTAGGAAGATGATTGGTGATGGTAGGCAGTAACCTTGTCTGACTTCTATCTTCACCTGAAAGGTATCGCTGAGTCATAAAGATGGATACTGCCTTAAGTATGAACAGTGCGCGTCTACATGGTCCTCAAGACAGGCCTCAGATCTCTAGTGACCAACAAGTCCCCTAGCCTAGTAGCCACACCCAAGTGCAAGAAGGGAATCGAATCATACATAGAAAAACAGTCATCCAGTCCACTTGTAGTTAGATGCAGCGTCAGATATCACAATTATTCCTCATCGGTCAGTTCTCCATTCAGATGTTCCAGACAGCTATATGTATATGCGTCAGTTGTCTCCCAGTGACAGGACAACTTCGCTATTTGATCCCTTTTTGACGTAAAAATATTGGCGATTTGAAATCCTTGGCTTTTAAGGACGCTATTTTGCCGTCGGTTGTTCTTCTGCTTTTAGTGTGCTTATTTGTTCATTCATCTCAAAAGCATACCTGAGGTCTTCTTTTGCTTTCACACCCTTTCAAATGTAGTGGAATTCTTCATTTCACTTCTGTTTTCTACTTTGTTCTAGCGTAGCAAGATGTTGAGCATCACTCTTTATTGACCTATAATAAAGATAACGTGTTCATAAACTACTGTATTTGCAAATCTCAAAAGATTTCTTTCACTTAATCCTTATCTAGATTATTGACCCAGTACCGTTATTAAGACGTCCTATCATCGAATCATTTTTAGCTGAATGGTGTTAACGTGCATTGCAATGCTTTTCGCTCTGCAGTAATTTAACTGATATCCCAGCATTCTGATAACTATACCAGATGTCTACTAGGTTAGATTTCAGTCTTCAGCTAGTATTTCTGATGTGGCGAACCTGGAATTTTGCTTCAAATGACTAACAGCTCAGTAGCTGTATGAATGATTTAAGGTTTGTATTCATCATGGACTATCCGTAGTTGGAAGAACATTGGAAACCTGGGAGAATTAGAAAGCTGATTCGTCCTAGTATGGCACTCGTCAGCAGTGCACACCCATGACCGCATCTGTCAGTGATCGAACCCGCGACATTTGTGTCCCATATCTAGTATGTTACTATTAAGCCATTAGACTGAAGTCCTATGGTCCATATTTCGTACTTCTGTCAGTTCACGACATAGCGCGACCTGCGTCCAATGTCATCGTTGAGTAACTGTTCTCATGTTCTACTTGTTTGACTCCACTACTCATGCTTTCTGAATGAAATAAAATACTAAGATGGGTACTTTACGTCCTTGAAAATATCTTGAATTGCATTAAATTTCATTTGGGTCAAGTCAATTCATATTTGTTTATCGAAATAACAAAGAAGTCTATCATTAACTATTCCTAAATGTTATTCGACCCCTTAAAACATCTGCTTGTCTTGACAGCAGGTGAATATTACATCAGATTAGTAGTCTTATAAGAGACTGGTTATGTTGTTAATACTTAACACAAGAACAGTAAACAATTCGGAACTTAACCTATTGACAACCAGATATAAATTTTTAAAAAAACGTTAGACAGGGAAATCGATCAGAATTGTTGTGCATTTATTAGTTTGTAGCCTAAAAGTTGTTTTGTGGAAATTGTTTTCACTTATCTGGCTGTAAACGAGTGTACTAAAGAATCCGGAAATGAAGTAGTTAGTCAGCATAAGGAAGACTCAAAAGGGCAGTTGTCTAGAGGTAAAATACCTAACGACTAAAATAAAGCTGACAAGACTGAATGCCATTTAATTCTCTGTATTAGATGTTTCACAGTCTATCACAGAGCACAAGTTTTCCTTCTATATTAGAAGACTAAAGAAATCCACTGACACATTAGCAGACTACTTTTATAATAAATAGATACTAACGGATATTCTTGAGGTATCCGCATAGGAGCCCAGCTGTCAACAGAAGTCGATCAGTTTCACTCTGTGAACTAAAGGGAAATTACGAGTATTACAACAACAGTTGGAACCCGTTGCCTAGTAAGTGACTATCGTGCCCAAGTGGTTTAATAGATAACTGTGTGGCATTTGAAGCGAAGGGTACTGGGTTCGAGCCTCAGTAGGAACAACATGACTCACTGAGTTGCAAGTACATCCAGCTGACTAGTCCGAAATGGGGCAAAATCCGAGTTCTAGATTCCTTTGCTAGTCATTAAGATCAATGTGACGTTTTAAATATTTATTTATTTATTTTAAACCTAACAATATTTGGAATCAAGAAGGTGCACTTCTGCGTGAACAAAGTTTTGGAACTCCGGGAAATATAGGTGTAAGAAAGTGAGACATACTTGTTTGTTGGTTGGAGGTAATTGAGATGTAGTTCTGCTTCGTCTAAATATTTTGCTTGTTGATGTTTGTCAGCAGGGCATATCTGCAGTCTCGAAGGATGTGATGCTTCTCCAAGATTCGAAGTCACATTAGGCAGTGCTGCAGTCACATGAGTTACTGTTGAGCTATTCGGGTTATGATACACTTGCTTTTGAGATACTTAAGGCAGGGAATGAGTTCAATTTTGACTTTAGCATACTTGTATACCCGCATAATGCCAAGTAAGTAAAACAACGCTAATAAGATTATCCAAGGTAACTGTAATAGCTAAAATTCCATTCATATGGACGGAAATGATGATTGGTTTATTGATTAAATATGAACTGAGTTCTTGAAGTTGGCATTTCTCATCTCCTATCATCTAAGGTGATGTCTGTTGGAAAACCAATGAAAACTTGTCCTAGTATGCTACTCCTCAGCAGTCTGCAACCGCGAATCCGTCAAGGATCGTACCAGGATATTCAGTTTTCGTGATGAATACGTTAACTATTCAATCACTGGATCGGAATCTACTAGTCTAAATTTTCCTACTTCTGTCAATTCGTGGTACGTATGTCCATCATCCACTGTAATAGATGGGTATTTGTCCTTGCAGTCGACTCAGTTAACCTCACAGGCCACGACTTCTATTAGAGCTTTAGGAAATCCTTCTTATAGCATGTCATGAATAAGCACTAGACAGTAATTTATTTTGGAGGTTTGTAGGGTATGATGTTTGTCCGCGGTGAATACTACCTGGAAATTTCACTGTCGTCAACATCACAGATTTACCACTATTAAGTTCTCAACTTTGGAAGTGAAGGTTGTAATAGGACCATATGATTTACTCACAGAACTAAGATATCAGTTGACGAGATCATATTGGGCGTACAGTTGTGCCTGACCTCCACTGTCTTCAAGTTTCAGAACAAAATTTACAGATAAACAGAAAGAGTAGCAATGGGATCACCAATATCCCCAGTCGTAGCAGATATATATATATATATATATATATATATATATATATATATATATATATATATATGGATAGTTTGAAAAACATGACTTTAAGGACGTTTAATCCTGCACCTAAGATATGGTGACGATTTACTTGTGAATGACACATTTACTGTGTTGAAATCTGAACATATAGACAGTTTCCTCACACATATAAACTGAGTAGTGGATGCAATCTAATTCACTTACAAAGAGGTAGAAAATGAACAAGGAGAACTAATTAAGTTGAACTGCAGAGTGAAAAGAAGAACAAACGGTGGTTTGGATACTGCCATCTACACGAAACCCACATATTCTAACAGGTATCTAGACATCAAGACAACTCATCGAATGTTAATTAAGGCGGATTTAGTCAGATGTCTAGAAGATAGAACTAAAAAACTGACTAGTAAGTGGAAGGACTTAAACACTGAATTGAAGCCCACAAAAATGGCTCTAATAGTTAGTAGTTATCCTCTACGGTTGGTACGAACACATAAGAAACGAAATAATAACAGTAACACGAGTACGAATAATAACGAAATCACAAGTAGAAAGGAGTTCACACCCTCTATTGTGTTACCGTCTACGGAAGGAACATTAGAAACTTTACGCAGGATTCTCAGCAAATCTGGATTTATGATGGTGTTTAAACTTACAAATTCACTCAGGGATCAGGTTTGTCGGCTGAAGGACTCGATAGATCCATTTAAGCAAAATAGCCTAATCTATCAAATTCCATGTAATGACTGCAAAGTCAAGTACATAGGTGAAACTAACCCTCTGGTGTCACTTAAAATATAGGAACATAGGAATTCGACTAAATATAAAATAACAGACCCAAGTAAGATCGATACTTTAGAAAAGAAGTTGACATTTGCGAAACATTACTTCAACTGAAAAGTCCTAAGGAGGATAAAACAACCATCCTGAATGCTAGTCACTATATTTTATCCATAACTGTATTCATCTGTTGAAGAACATAATTGAGGTTCACTCCATTCTTGAATATTCTTAATATTCCATACTTAATCTCTACTTATACTTTATCTTGTTTAGATGAATTTACTCATTGATACTGGTAGCAGTAATATAGCTATTTCTGGTAGAAATCTAACAAATGTTGACAGTTGGTTTAAACTCAATCAGTCATCTACATTACAGTGCAGTAACTCGGTTCAAAAAGTCCGTTATGAACTCGGCTTCTGGTATGGAATCTACTGTCAAGATGATTTTGACTTTGAAAATGCTCAAAGTAAGTTATTTGAATTGAAATTATTGAAAAGATCATTTAGTCTAAGCGGTTTACAGTAGAGTGAGATGTTTGATCTAACGTTTCAGTAATTAAAGAGAATCCTACCTCATTCTATTGCTTGGTAACCGATAGTCAGCACAATATTGATGGTATTTTTCTGTTGAGAAGGATAGAATGCATAGTGGAATCATTGTCAACTAGATCTTAGTAAGTATGTGTAATAATAAACTGAATTCCATAATCAGTTTTAATTTTTATTTCGAAGGTAAACTGATAAACACTAAGAACAGTTTTGAAAATACAAACTCTGACTTGTTTCAATGAAAAGGCTATTGGTCTATTGCAGATGAAACATTATAATAGCGTAGGTTTTGTTAAATGGATAGGCTGAGACAGTAATTGGCTTACCGACTGATAATTATTCATTCCCATTTCGAAGGTTAATGACAAATTCATTGATGACAAAGATGCTTTTTCAAAGCAGATCGATATTAAGCAAAGAAATGTTGAAAAGCTTGGAGCAGAATAAAGCTATTGCGTCATTGTTTTGAAATCCTTAACACAGTAAACCAACTATCTCATATAGGATTTGAATCAAGAACGGTCAGTTCCTCTGACCCTCAGCCATTGGGTCACAATCCAATTGCCTTCAGCTTATTACTTCTGTCGTTTCGTCAGCGGCCTCAAATGAAACGACTGTCGGGTTATCCCAGATGTTCAAGGCTTCTGTGGCTGATTTCGATCTGTGATAAGTACCTCTTTGAACCAATCCGTAAGACAGTGATGAGTAACGTCGGAGCCGTGAACCGCCAAAGCTTCTGCTATACTTAAGTATCTAATTCTTACCCCTTTCGAACGTTTTGGTCGAACTTTGTAGAGAACTTTTAACGTAGTTTACAGAGAAGCCAAGCATCCAGAATGTTTGACGATAGAGCTGACCACATTTTAAAGTGAGCGCATTGTACGACCTACGTACTCAGCGCCCTAGGGAAGAGATTGGACTGATAAATACACATTGATGAGGCTCAAAGCATCAAATTGTCTCTCAAGCTGCAAATAATTAAATGTTAGTATGAAAACACAATACGGAGCTTTGAAACATAGATTGACAAGCGTTGACAAAAGATGTCCACGGCAATATCACCTTTGAATCTGAGGTTCATTCAAAATATTTTCTTTGGAATTGATGGAATTTGTCTTGTAGCCTTCCTTTGTTTCATACTTTTTTTCCTATGAATTTAGATGAGTATCCACTGTCTAATAACATTTCTCAGGAGGTAACTAATTCTTGAATAAGTGTATTCATCACTCCATATCTTTATGTATTCATCCTAGATACCGGATCTTATTACTCAATGCATTTCATAAAAAAAATATTGAGTACATTTCTTGTTCTGTGTAGTATCATTTCACTCCCTCTACCCATCTATCGACTAAGTTTAACCTTTGACCAGAAACTTGTCTGGAATATTCTGTCATTCCACTTATATATTTACCGATGGATAGTTATGAAAATGAGCCGTCAAAGAAATAATTATCTTCGTTTTCACTTCCTTTTGTCTTTCATTTATCCTTTATCTCAATGCCTCATAATTTATGATTTACCTAATAATCTTTTAAACTTCAGAAGCTTAGTTAAAAGTAATTTAAGTAATATTCGAGGGTAGTGTCGCTGAAAATGTATTAAGAGTAGATAGGTGAAATGTACCAATATGTGTCATTTCTACCCAACTTGCACATCCTCAGATGAAAACCGTGTCAAGTCAGAAATGTGAAGACGAAGGGGGAAGTAGACTGAAGTGTTTGTCTTCTTTCAGTGATGTCCTGTTCTTTCGTTTGAATAGTTTAATCTTGAACCGAACATTATCATTTCAGACAATATCATCAACACAAACTTCACAGAGAAGTTATCAAAGAAGTTGTAATTGTGATTGGTTGTTTTGTATATATATATATATATATATATATATATATCCATTAACTGTTCTGTTGATATGATCTCTGACTTTCATGATGTTTCTCATTGGTTAATAGATTGAGTCAATGTCAAAGTGTTTGATGACCACTGACTTATTGGAGTGCCAAGCTTCTTATAATTCTGTAGGATTAGTCAGTTTACCTTTGTCTAGGATTTTCATATTTTCCAGTCGAATTAATGTCCGCAATTGTCCGTATGTATTGTTATTGGCGATGACGTATCATAACACTTCACAGCTAGTTGATTTTCCTGTAGGGGAATGTGAAGATAACAGCCACTTTGTCTGCTTTTCGCAGATTCTGCAGCTTATTTTGTAGATAACGTTATGTTTTTCCTCTTCTACGACTGTTTATTTTGGCCTGAAGAGATTTCGTTGGTGTGTAACGTACAGTGTCTTTATGAGGCTCTAATAATTTGGTTATTTTAATGATGACAAACTGCTATGACCAGTACGACCTAACACTCTACGAGCGATACGAGCCTAACGTGCAAATGACTCAACTCTAACGCAAATCGAAATTTCAACCATCACCAAAACAATACCACCAACGTTTGAAGACAAGAAGGCAAACTGTTAACACAGCAGCAGTCATTACAGTTGACAGTGATGCTAAACATATACATTTCTAAACGACCTTGACAACACCAAATCTACATCTAGTTAACAACCAATGAGAGTTCAGCCCTGAGAGGAGAGGTAAAGAAAACTAGCAATGGTGTGAAAACGGCCATGATATGTTATCTCAAGGTCATAGGCAAAACATCAGGTAAAAGCTATTCAAAATTGAAGGGTATATAGCACAAACATATCTTTTGTGTACTGGATGCACAATTTTGGTCTGATCAACAGTGATACAAGAATATTTGTGAAACTACTTGGTTAAATGTCGACCAGGATTCACATAAAGTAATACCATGGTTTTCAATATTTGGATTACCGATCCTATCATCAGTCCTAATACAGGGTGATACAGTCCATGTTTTCTTCGTCTGTTTGAAGAGTTTTCCATTGAATTGGAAATATTGCGTAATATAAATCAATTACTTTTGTGAGAAGTGTATCATTGATGAGAAGAATCATTGTATCCCTAACTAGTTTTGGCTCACTTGAGGCGTATAGAGTTATTACGTGAAAAAGTACCATTATTTTGTTGTAGTGAGAGAATTTTTAGAAGCAAATCAGAGATCAACTAACAAGAAGTACCAAGAGAGTCAGTATTCACGTCAGCCGGTTATCAGTTGAACACATGCGTCGACAATGACAAGATTTTACCAAAACCAGCCAATCGCTATCACATTTGTGGAATGTTTACTGATGATACTATCTGGAATGACAATAACGCCTTATGAATCAACCATCTTACTTAGTCACATGAAATTCTATAACAGTGATCCCAACAATTGAAGGTGGAAATGTCGAAATTTTTGTAACTTTAGCGAGACATCAACCTAACATAAAATGTCCTGGAGTCTTAGGTGATAGGTGCTATGTGCCAGTTCCACAGCAAATCTGAACACTGAGTTCTATATATTCTGACAGTATGTCCTGATTATGTGATCTGAATTCCACTACCAGTTACCAATAAATGAAATCAAAATATTATAAAAGTCAGTATGAAAGTTAATGTTAGCGTAGATCATACATCAGAAGAATATGTAAGGAGTCGCATATTAGGAAGAAACAGCTGTCCAGTGCTCCCAGGTTTTCAATGTTCCTCCGACTGATATCAGTCCATGATGAACTCCAACCTAAAATCAATTAATAAATCTCTAAAAACCTCCAGATAGAATTATCCTAGCTTTAAGAAGTGATTCCTGAAGTTCCAATAAGAATTCGTAACCGGTGGAGTAGACCAAGTCGAGCATGAGGACACTTACTCAACGACAGCATTTGATATATGTCACGCTGTGTCGTGAACTGACAGAGGTTGGAAATATGCACCATCAGACTTTGACCTAGTGGCTTAATGGAAACTTACTGACCATGGAACCCTTACGGTCCTCGGTTCGATCACTGACGGGTGTAGTCAACGGTTTCCACTGCTCAAGAGTGCCTTACTGCGACAAAAGACCTCTCCATTGCTCCCAAGTTTCCAATGTTTCTCTAACTGATGTCAGTCCCTGATGAATTCGAACCTAGAATATATGATCAGTTAGATTCCTTAAGTCACATGAGAAAGAAAAAGTTTAAGTGACTTGTTATACGATTATAAGGAAATTAGATGTTTACACAAGTAATACCACCCATTGGGTTTTGTACTGTCTAGCCATTTGATGGTTTGAGCTAAACAGACGTATGTGTATCTCAAATGCTTTTTCAACTCTGTAAGGCAAGTTAGATGAAATGACGTTGATCGATAATCAACCTATGAAGTTTGTTGTCCAGAAGATAAACAGATTGGTCAGAAATAGACTGAAGCTGAAACTGGTTTTGTATTCATATCTCCTACTTGAATAATAAGCTTCCCAATACGTTCAAATTCCATTAATCTATTCAAGATTATCTACCGGTTATTATCAATATATGGCTATGAAAGATGTATATGAGAAGGATTTAGTTGTTCGATTACTACTGCCTTTGTAGCATAGGCCACGTTATGGTACCACCACGTCAGTGATGTAAAAGTCAAGCAAAAAGCTCTACGCAGAATATGAAAGTCAAACAATGAAGTTGTAAATCTTTATCGACTAATTTGGTCTGGACACGCGCTAGGTATGCTTAATTACCGTCTGCCTCAGTGTTAACTGGTGTATATTTTAACTGGAAAAGGTAAGGCGTGGCCAGACTTCAACATGGCATCATTTCATGTAGTTATTGACTGTTGATCTGAGTTATGCAAGGAAATGTAGACTTCAGGCTGGGGCCAGCTGGATGGATGGTAGAAACTAATGTTCGGAAACTCTGAGTAACATGACTCAGATCAACCTCAGTGGCGCAGGTTTATTCACACAATATCTTCATCTTGGTCGTCAGACTGAATTCAGTATTTTCTTGTACCTCCTTGTTATCTTACCACTGCTTTCCATCACTTTATTTTTCATCTTATTGAATTCTCGATTCATGTGCAGATATAACGTATGGCAACTTGGACTGCTATTCAGTAATGCTTGGTCCTGTATTGATCTTGTCAGTCTGTCTTTACATTACTACTCTTATAGTTATTTACAATCCATGTTACTAGAAATATCATTTTCCATATTCAATATTCAAGAAGTGGCTATCGTGACTCGATGGTCTAGTGAATAACCCTCTGGCGGTCGGTTCCGGGCTGAACAGCATCACTCACAGAAGCATCAAGCTGACGAGTCCCAAACGGGACGAAACGCAAGTCCTAGATCCCATTACTAGCCATTGCTGCCGATCATTAATATATAATCATATGAACCATAATTACAGTTTCATATTGTTTCCTATTATTTCTTATTTTGCAATCAGATACAATCAATCTTGATGCTACTATCAATAGTTATCAAATATCTTTACCATTTGGATTAATTTTCAACTCAACCAGATTATTTCTAAGGCATAACCATTCTTCATGGTATGGAATTATCGGATTAGCGTTTACTTCACTCTATGTTAAACCCAACAAGATATTTAGCAATAGAAATACAAAATATGCAGTGAAGAATTCCCAAGTTAAATCAACTAATCAAGCGTTGCTTAAACCATAGGCTTTTTGGATAGATTAAATGAAATCTGGAAGGTGAAGAAGCAGTTTGGACTATTGTTATGTGGAACTACAACGGTAAATTAGCTGTTACTTATAACATATTTATTATTAGTACTATCAGCATTATTATTATTATTATTATTATTATTATTATTAATAGTAGTAGTAGTAGTATTAGTATTCTGTATAGTTAAGTTTTTCTTTTCAATGGTTTATAAGAAAGAAAATTTAATGAGGATAGTAATTAGTGAAGCGTTTTCATTTTCAGAGGTGTAAAGTTGTATTCTGATATAGATTATGGTGCATAATAACACATAGATGAAGACAACAACGTGGAACTACCACAGCAAACAAGCTCGATAATAGAAAGATGTTTCTTGGAAGTATGGTACTTTAATCAATTGGCAATCCACAGATATGAGATACTAAGAAGGAATCAGTTAACAGGAAATCAATCAAGTGAATAGATAATTAGACATTAGGTGAACAGTATAGGCTGAAGGTCAAACTCAAAAGAAGTGATAGAAACATCACTCTTATGCACAAGCTAACAACATCCATACAATATGAAGATGATTCACTTTTGTATAAGTTGGATTCTGATGAAGTTTCCTAGCTTAGTGATTTAACATTCAAGAAGTAACCTCAGAGTTTGTAAAACAACAAACAGATATCATCCAAGATATCAGTGACAAACTTTCTGTATAATTTCAAATTGATTAAGATCCATACACGTTTATCTTTCTCTATTGTCAGATTTTCTGAAATACAGTTGTGAAGCAAATCAGTCTGTCATAAGTAATTGTCTCATTTAGCTCTATGTAGTTGACTAGATAAATGTGACCACAGAATCATCTACTGTTAGTAATTATAAAGTTAAGACAGATTAGAAGCCTTTGATGTTTATCATCTGATACCAGATCTTTGAGTGAAGAACGATGAGGCCGGCGAAAATTCATTCCATTTCGTAATCAAATAGATAAAATTGACGTAGAATCTCGTACATAAGTCCGTAGGTTCAACTTACCATACTTTATGGTAGTATACGAAGAACAAGTGGATTAACAAAGGGTGATATCAAAGTAGGAAAAATGTGTGGGAGGGAGAAACAGATTGAAGACAGAGGTTAGTGAAAATATTCAGGTTTTATCGATGGAAGACTTTGATGAGTAAACATACCTGCGCCATTTTGATCAATTTTTGGGCATTTCATCAAGAATCCTAAGCCACTGATTCCCATCATCTTATGAGTCCAATTCCGATAGTCTACACCTCCGTACACGACTGATATTAGCAGTCAAAAACTGAATAAGCTGATGCCATGTCTTTCTCTGGCCACTCTGCACCCTCTTTCAACCTAATTCATTTTCTCTTAGAACTGTACTGTACATCGAGGTAGATGGAAGTTTGGTATACGTAACACATGTCCAAGCAATCTCAGTCGACTATCCTTCTTTATCAAGTATCTTTCATCTAACCTCTACAACTATTCACAATAATGATTTCACTACATGTGAGCTATTATTATTATTATTATTTTCCCTTGTGTTCATAGTGGAACATAGGGCTTTAGTAGCACGCCTCCATTGCACTCTGTTATCTGCAGTCTTTTGAACCTGCCTCCACGACTGCCCATAAGCTTGCATTTCTTCCTCACTTGATCTCCTCCATGTCACCCTCAGCTCAGACGCCCAACTCGTCGTTTCACATTTGGATCCCACTCAAGGGTCTGGCTTGACGCGTGATGTCCCCAATCGGCCTTCTCAGTGTATGCCAAAGGCGTCACTGAGCTTTCCATTGTGAATTACTTGGCATGTAGCACCATTATACAGCTGTTGAATGAGGTTGATAAAGATTTGTGGTACTGCGTCGAGCTGAAGCATCTGCCAAATTACTTCTCGGCCGACGCTGTCGATGGCCTTTTCAAAGTCGATAAAGCTGAGGTAGAGAGTTGGCTGGCATTCTATCCTCTGTTCTGTGATGATGCGTAGTGTTGCAACTTGATCTGCACATGATTTATTCTTCCTGAAGCCAGCCAGCCAACCTGTTCACGTCGTAGTTTTGAACCCAGCGCATCCTTTAGTCTGTCCAGGATAATGCGGCATAATATTTTGCTTAGGGTGAACAGTAGCATGATTCCTCACCAGTTCTTGCAAAGGCTTAGGTCACCCTTCTTTGGGAGCTGGAAAAGGTAGCCCTTCTTCCAATCTGTAAGTACCTTTCCTTCCTTTCAAACTTTCCGCATTATATGTGAGATATGCTACTATAATAATATAACACCAGTACATAGACTCATGATACAACACTGGATAATCTTTATAACAAAAGGAAAATTGAGGCAAAAAGAGTTGAAACAATGTATAAGGTGTCATCTTCTTCATCTCTGACGTACTGAAACTATTTCATAAACCATGATTCATACAGAAACCAACTTTACACGTGAAAGCTTCAAATGTCAACAAATGTTTATTTGGGATCATAAATGCAGTCAGCGTTTCCTTCGTGAATGTTTTTAACCCTTCAGTTATTGACATTAATTTATTCACAGTCTGTCCGGTATATGTGGATCCTTACTTCTCTTTCACTTCGAAGGTTTATCGTTGATATCTTGCCTTTTACCGCGAGAAAACAATGAAAAATTATCATAATTTCCTTACAATGAATAAAACTCCAAGTACATACTTAGTTAAACAACACCATGAATATGCACATTTGGGCAACAATACTGCCTCCATCCAACTTACAGCCTATTTCAGGGCATTAAGATGGTATGTCTCCTACCTTCGTGACTTCGTCAATATCTCAGTAGTATTATCTCTGAATGCAGTAATGGGCGATGCTTGTTCAAATCCTTGAAGCGACACCAATTTCATTAAGGTTGCAGCAACTTGCTAACAAGTGCCAACAAGTATGAAATCTAGGTGAAGTAGAGTTTCTTGCCGATTATCTCTAAGCAAATAACTTTCAGATATTCTAAGTTCAATACTGTAATCCTTTTTAACCTTTTCAATTAAAAAATATCAACTGTTATTGCTTGCATTACACCGTCGTTGATTGGACCGAACTGATCAGTCTCTGTTGGCATATGGGCTCCTGTGAGGATGCTTCGATATTTCCTGTGTTCTTAACTATATAGTAATGATGGGTAGTGGCTAGCAATGGAATCAAGGATACGCATTTTGTCCTATTTGGGACTCGTCAGCTGGATGTATCTGCTTCCCAGTGAGTCATGATGCTCCCACCGGGATTTGGACTCGGGAGCAATCGCCTCGAGCGTGAGAACGTTATCCCCTAAACCACTGAGCCATGATAGCCACTTCTTGTGCGACTGACAGAGTAATAACACTAAAACTATACCCGTCGGTTTAATACGAATTCGCTTGACTAAGCCAATGTGTGACCAGATTGTTCCAAATGGAATGCTCAAATATATTACAGATTGTTCAGATAAACTTCTTCTAATTACACTGTCTAAATACTGTACTATGTTGATTTGTTTAAACAACGCAAGGACGAAGACATTTGTGGAATAAAATGAGTTCATTTTATTTCACCAGCTTTCTTCAGCTGCATACAGCCTACAATTAAAATAAAGAAATGGTAGTAATAATGGCATAACATACTTTAAACATGCAGATATAAATGCAGATTTGAAATTCCCCGATTAACCAGACGGTAATGAGTCGAGTAAACATAGGGATAATAATCGCAAGTCTTAGCCAAAATCAACGGCTATTCATATCTCATGCGATAAAAGATTCCGGATCTGTGGAGTGTGAGGATAGCAAGCGAGAATTAGTATACAAGAAAGGACTGTGTAAGATCAAATAGGTTGCATAATTACATGGGAAAAAAACTGGAAAATCATTAAGTGATTAATAGGCAGTAAGTAACTAATGAAGAGATGATGCAATGAAAAGAAAAGGGAAGACTACATACATGTACATGCAACAATTATATACAGTTGCCAAGGTAAAGAAAAGTTAATTACAGTCTCTTTCTGAGTACATAGGTCAGTTTGAAAATGTTCGATAGCGAGAGCTTCCGCAAAACCATAATAAACAAGGTATTCTTTGTTTGTTGATTATCCTGAAGGATTGAGAAACATCTATTTGATTTCCCGTTTCCATCAGATGCCAGGCGATTGTGCTGTTAAAGATCTCGCTGACCTTGTTGTTCCCTCTCCCACTCCTAATCTTGTGTTTCATTGACTCACTCACTACCTTATTGTTAATCCTGGAATAAAAAACTGCATTTATTTCTACATATTTAAAGTATGCTATGTCATTATTATTACTAATACTTTATTTCAACTGTAAACTGTTTCCAGCTGATGAAATAAAGTGAACTCATTTGATTCTACAAATGTCTCTGTTGTTCAAATTTGTCAAGTGAACTTAATGTATGACATGTTGATTTGTGCCACGTATTAGTTTTCCTCTATCATTATAGTAGTTCTTCGTCTTTTTTGAACACAGTCAGAAAAAACGAACGAGAAAGAAGTTGAGACAGGGACTACGAAACTGTGGCCTGTAGAAAAGAACATAGTTAACATCCTGTCTCAGGATAACAGAATTCAGTCAGTACTTGGAAGATAAAGTGATACAAGACTAAAGCAAACATATACAGATTTTACCACCTGGAATGTATTCCTCTGCCTCCAACACCAAAGAAACCTCATACAAGGACTTCCATTGACATGCATACAATAGGTGTTAAGGCCAACCTCTAATCAAAAATACACAAGAAAACTGTGTAAAAGGGGTGGACAAAATCCTGAAGAAAAATAATTCATCCTCTTGAACCACTGACTATCTGGACTGGTTCTAATGCCAATAGTTTTATCATGATTCTTACACAACACTCAGAACAATAGATGGTTCTCTGACAATCTTTAGAAGGTTCCTTATGACAAGAAGTTTAAGTTCCCTCAAAATGTGACTGTTTCCTAGAAGTACTTTAACAAGGTAAAGTTATACCAGCCAAAATCTTTGAAGAAGATACCTTGTTGAGTTAGGATAGTTATCTGGAAATGCCGAAGATTGGAATTAAGCTTGAGCCGTAGAAGTTGGTTTCTGAACAATCATGTATAGCAGGGGAATTCAACATTCAGTAACACGGTTAAGAAGTCATTCAGAACTATCAAAACCTTAATAATAATGGTTTCCAAGATTTTATTTATCATGGACTAACATCATTTGGAGAAACATTGAAAACCTTGGGGCACTGGACAGCTGTTTTGTCCTAGCATGTGACTGCTCAGCTGTGTGCACTCATAACCTAGCCAGGGATGGAACTCAAACCATTAAGGTCTTGCGGTGAACGCGTTAGTTATTCAGTCACTGCGTCGGAGTCCATATCTTCCTATTTCTGTCACTTCGCGGTATAGCACGACTGTCTATCAGTTGTCATTCGCTTCACTTCCAACTAGTTGACCCCAAAGGTCACGTACTTATTCATTTAGACGTTACAGAAAGATTTCTTATTAAAGTAAATGAATACAGTAGCCCTTTTCTTACTACTTTACAGGTCACGAATTCAAAATCGATTCACGAAGAATGTCGGGTAAACTAGTCATTGGTCAAACTGATCTCAGTCTTGTTCTATCTTCTTCTGCGTCTACATCAATGACAACAAATTTCAGTTCATCAACGACTTATTTTACTCCAATCCGTAAAGCATGGTATTATGAGATCATCTTAACTAATCTTATCATCAGTAATCAAAGTTTGATAACTGATTGTAAAGAAGTAAGTTCAAAGTAATTTCAACGACTTTTTGCTCCTAAGCTCACTGTTTTTGAAATTAGCTGTAAAATCGTGAAGGTATCAAAGCCAGTTTATCTAATTAAGTCCCACAGGAGGTCAGTCTCAGCCTGAATATCTCACTAGTAACATGGACGATTGTAGTACTTGGTGATGTGGGTTTGCATATGTTAGGGGAAATCTTTTTTTTGAGGTTGCAAGTATGCCTTTATGACGAGTGTCAGCAAGCAAAAAACCGATTTACAAGGATTCTTATCGACTGCCTCCAACTATTTAGCGTCAGAAATGAGTTCACTAACTCCCAGTGAAGCTATCCAAAGTCACGACAGTCAGTAGATTCCTAGGTATTCAACAGGATAATGACGAAACGAAAAATTGTATATTCGGAAAGAAAACACTTCTGAAAAGCAAAGAAATGTTTCTGTAAAACATGACTTAACTTGTTGTAGGTATTCCTGTCAACAGGTTTTCTATTGCTCCTACACGGTCTCTGACCAACCAGTTATTTCTTATAGATCCGTTTTTCAGCACAAACTTTAAAATATACGTTTATGATTGAACGCCTAGGTTTTCGCTAACTCGTAATTTAACGCCACTAGATTCTGATCATAAACGTTGACTGATATATGGATATTTGCCACGTTGATGTGGTGATCAGGCTTGCAAATAACATCGGTTCAACAATCTATGAATATGGCAACACATGTTCCTTAAGGTCTACCATACCAGAAGGTTTTGTCGAGTAGTGCCAAGACAGAAGGCAGTTACCTTTAAGGTGTAAGCTGGAACGTTGCTAAAGAACTTCGAGGGTGAATTCATATCTCTGTTTGGAAGGACTCAAATTTCCTCAGTTACCCTTTAATATTTTTGTACTATATTTAATTTCTTCCGGCTCCGTAGCTGTGGTACTGATACGAGTCCATGGAACAAGACTGTTGGTTTCTTTAAACCGTTGCCTGAACTACGTACTGAAACTCAATGGTCGCATGCACCACCAAACTGGCCATCAACTTTCCCCAACCAAAACTTTAGCATCTCTAGCCATACCTGTGTACTGCGTTTTTGAAACTTTAGTACAGGAACCAGGTGTGGTTATTCAACAAACCTCACCTTATATGTATAGCTAATTTGCGAGATTCACACTTCGAGTTTCTGCAGATTTCGATGGTCATTTATTGTTATTTCGCAGGAGAATATAAGGCAGAATGTGCACTGATCGACTGGATTACAGACACCAGTGAATTGTGCACTGTTCAAGTTAGTGGTGAACTGAAGTCTAGAATGAATAGTAATAATCACCCTCGCCTCTTTGTGATATTTGCTTGGATACCATTCGAATGAATTTGGGTGTTTAGAAGGTGATTGCAGTGCGAAACTGTACAGTTTAAGGTGGACAAAAACATCTACAGAGTATGTTTTGACTCAGACCATGAACTGATTCAACCACGCCTTTGTCTACGTCTAAATAAATATAGAAAAACTGTGCCAACAAGAATATCTCAAGCCTAAGTTGATGATGAGAATATAAGGGCTACTTTCATTGAAGAACCCATAAAATTCGTAATGAAATAATGTCAGTCCACGTTTTAAGGTGAATTAACTGACCTGCTGACGGTCCAAAGCATGATTGGCTATTGTATGCTTTCCAAAAGGTGATACTGATAAGATATTACAGTTGCGTGTTGCAGATAAATCCCAATAAAAACGAGACCTAGTTTGAGTAGGGCCTTTTCTCATTTCCTCCATTCAAATAATAGCGAATAATGTGTACTATGATGGTATGCATCCTAGTTTGGTGGCCAATTTTTAAAATGGTCGATAGAACTCGATCAGCACATAGGACCAGACAACATGAAGTTGGCTACTGTCAAGTGATTAATGTGCCTAATCCAGTTCTACAGAAAGTCAGTAGCGACCCGAATAGAGCAGTGTTAACATCTCAGATTGAAGCACGGGATAACGCATGTTTAAATCTCAAGAAAGGTGGTATTTCCGTCAAGGTCTTAGATTCGTCTCTCAAAGCTATTGAACAAAAGCTGAGGATACCATGAGCTTTGTTTCCAGATAATTGGCAGTGAGTAAACACACCAAGAGTTTTAATAAGAAATTCTTTGTAACATTACAAAATGATACTGAAACCTCCCCTTTTGTAATTTGTGTATTTCAAGTCACCTGTACTGTTATGCATCTTTCGATTCCGAATGGGCACAAATTATCCACTATCGTTTCATATTATTTCTTAGTGAGTCTTGGAATGAACCTAAAATATCTATAGATTTGTGGAATTCCCTTTAATTCTTGAAATTATCAATCGATTAAGCTGGTTCAAGTCTCGACTAGTAATCTTGAAGTTGTTAGCTCAAATCCAAGTAAAACTAAATTTCAGTTCATCTTCACATATCATTACAAACCAGGCTAGATGTGGCCAACCGATGAGTTAAAAGCTTTTACACTGAAGGTATTATTGCAGAATTAAAGAAAAAAAATCAGATCTTCTAGTAAGAAAGCTTCACATTCTAAAATCTAAACAGTATCCAATTCTCCAAACAGTAAGAATACGTTTTAAAATAATTAGTGTTGCATGTACTGAGTATTAATTCGAAAGATAAAACCTTCATTCTTTAGCTTTTTCTCCCCAAGCTTATAAATGATAAACTTGATAAGGATTGTTCTCCATGAATGATTCTACCTTTTCAGAACTGTAGAATAAAGATGATACCAATATGTATTGTGTTGTGTGGATGAATTACAGATTGAAATTTGTAATATGAACATGTGTTGATAGTTCCCATCGTTTGTGTATTGGTTATGTCAGTATGTGGGCGTAGATTGAGATCAGCTCAAACTACTTTTTACTTCCTCATTTCTATTTAGACAATTTGGATCCAAGTTAGTGTGAAGAGAGTCTTCTACGAGATGTTCTTTATAATGTAGAAACTGGCTAATTTTTACATATTGGTGACAAGTTTTATCTCTTCATAGAACATGATACGGTAACTAATCTTGATGGCTAATCAGTAAAATGTTGTCAACATCTCAACTTTGCAGAAGAAATGTTGCAACATTGACTGGTCACTGGAGGGTAACCAACTTCATGTTGTCTAGTCTTAAGTGCTCATCGAATTCTGTCAATCACTGTTGCAATGTGGCCAGTAGACTAGGCAGCTCATCATCGCAATGCACTTTGAAAGATCTTAGTTGGATGGAGGTAGTCGGCACGTTCTCGTGAACATAGGTTTCGTGCTTCTTGGCACTCGTCAGCAAGGCATATCTATAACCTCGATAGGTTCGAATCTCAGGTGGGACATCAGTTACGTTGAGGTTGCAGATACGCCTTGTTGACGAGTGCCAACAAGCATGAAATCTAGGTCCACAACATCCTGTCGATTGCCTCCATCCAACTAACAAGTGTTGCAACCATTGGCTTAAGATAGATCCATCAATTTTTTCCATGCAAGACATACAACTGTCGATCAACAGCTATCCCATTTGACAATCGATATCATTTCCTCTTGTTTTTCTAAATATCATCATTCAGAAGGTTGAATACATGTTGGGTGTGCGTCTAAACTACAACTCTTGTAGATATAAGGCAGTTACTGTCATGCCAATAATTTTAATCGAATAATCTCTAAGACAGGCAAATGATCTTCATGAGAAGAAAACTTGTAGCAAAGGTTGTAATATCAGTCAAATAATTTTACTATTTGAGTATTTGTATTTCCTAATGCGAATGTAAAATGAAATAACTGACGTTTCTTTATTTAATGCGAATAAGTTTATGAAAGCTATGATAAACTACAGTTCACAATATCCTAGTTTATATATGATAACTTGACAAGTGCTTTTCTGTATGAATGATTCTACCTTGTCAAAATTATTGGATAAAGATGATATCGATATGTAGTGTACTCTGTGTATGAATAACAGATTAAGATTTGTATGTACACATGTGTTCATAGTTCTTATCACACGTCTGTTGGTTATGTCAGTAAGTGGAGATGGGTTAAGACCAGATCGAGTTACGTTTCACTTCCTCATTCCATCTTATTTAAACAATTATGATCACACTTTATATGAAGAAATTCTGCTATGAGATGTTCTTTATAATTTCTCAAGCCTTGTTGAATAACTTCGATGTTGTCAAAATCGACCTAGTCACCTGATATTATAGGGTATGACTGATGTGTTTTCAAGTTTTTTCACTTCCAATGAATTTCCAGGAGGTCGGGTGGAAGCTCTTCAGTGTTCATTTTCCCTAATTTTTATTTCATGGGAAGTTTGTCTTATGTATATTGCATCATAGTCTGAGCATTTTATTTCGTAAACATAATTGGATTGTGAGTTTAGGGGGATCTTGTCCTTCAAATGAACTAAGGTGTTCTACTATGTGTGTTTAGTGTTGTTTAGAACACTCGGGTATTGCATTTGTTGAGCACTCTCTTAATTTCATCCAACATGTGTAATCTATAAAGAATAATTGTTGCTGACGCCTATGATTGAGGAGTAGTTTCAAGATCTAATTTAATGTTATTTTCTATTTTGCCAATGAATTTTACCAGATTGTTATTCATTTTAAGTATCTTGTTCACATAGTTTAATTCCTTAACTCTTTCATTTTCATCCTTTGTTAGAGTATGTTCTCTGTTCAAAAGACCAGAGGTAACAAAAACTTTCATACTAATTGAATGTAATAAGTTGAAATCTGAATATTTCTTCGAATGCGTTTCTTTCCTGAAAATGGTTACACCTAAATTTCCATTTTCTTTCCGTTTTACAAGACAATCAAGGAAAGGCAGTTCTTCCTGATCCGTTTCTTTTTCTGAGCTGAACTTCATACTGGGAGATCTAGAGTTTAGCTGGTCTAAGAATGCTTGGTATAAGTCACGTTTCGAAATTACAAATTTGTCATCAACATACTTCAGCGAAATTTTTGACTTTAGTTAGTGAGCGAAGACACTTTCTTCGAATTTACTCATAAATAGGTTTGCTACTAGAGGTAAAACAGATGAAATCATAGCAACACTGTTAGTTTCCTCTATAGGTTTCCCTTAAATGTGAAGTAAGTAGTCTCTAAGCAGAATATTAGGGCCTTGATGATATCACTGGCATTCAGTAGAAAAATTTCTATCAGTGACGTGTCTGAATCTAATAAATCAGAAGTAATATCTAGTCTATCGTTAATTGGAATACTATATAAAGAACTGATGTCATAGCTTACCATAATTTCGTCTTCAATGAGGCTGTCTGCTTGAACGTTGGGCTACCAAATTTATCCATTGAACATTTCCCATCAAATTCTTTCCTTTCAATTTGTTTGAGTCATTTAAATATATCCTTTGAACGTATCATGTACTTTGGCACATTTTTAAACTGTTTCCAACTCCCTTTTTATTGAGTAAATAACAAAGCAGGGGGAAAATGTTATGTTATATGGGAATGAACTTTTCTGTGCACAAAAGTACATCATATTTCTATCCGTCAGATGTTTAGCTTAAGTTACAAAAATTTACTTTTATAGGCTGAATGAACGACCACAACCAAAATTACGCTTGGATTTCGGTTGATTCTTCATTACAAACCGGATGGCCATCCAGAACCAGCTGGTTATTTCATATTTATTTCCTTGAATACTATTATTATAAATGTCGTACAGATACAGTAACCGTTTCGTTTGAAAGTATTGTTCTGGCAGTGAATTTGTTGAAGTATTACATGCTGAGAATTCCATACTGTCAGACATATTGTTTAGAATAAAACGATTATCACTGTTATTATTATTATTATTATTATTATTATTATTATTATTATTATTATTATTAGTTATAAGCGAAGTAATTTTGAATGTCAAATGAAGTGAATGCTTTATTGTGTATTCGGAGTGCTTTTGTAGGGATTTAAGTATTGAAACCAGATATTTGAAGAGGTTATATATTGGTGTGTTGGGGAAGTCCTTGCAAAAGAACACTAGTCAAGTTATCATATATCAGCTTTGGGGGATATTCAGGCAATATACAGACATCCATAAAGGTTGATTAATTTGGTTCAATAAATCAATACGAAATTATACATCCCAACAAATAATAACATGCTGATATGTTTTAAAAACTTTCCAAGAAATTGATGATACCTGGAATCGTATAATATGGGCATGAAGGTGATGAATTTCTAGATTTATCCTTCCACTGATGTAAACAAATTGAACAATTTTTAAATGTTTCAATTCCTAATTTAACACTGATTGGTCACCGCAGAGTAACCAACTTCATGTTGTCTTGTCATATGTGCTGACCGAGTCCCATCTATCATTTTACAATGTGGCCACCAGACTAGGCAGCTCAGCATTGCGATGTTGGTTGAATGAAGGTAAGAAGCCCTAGACATAGGTTTTATGCCTGTTGGCACTCGTGAACATGTGCATCACGATGCTGAGTTGCCTAGTTTGATGGACATATTGCAAAATGATCGATCGGATTCAGTCAGCACACAGAACAAGACAACATGAAGTTGGTTACTCTCCAGTGACCAATCAAAGTAGCTAATCCAGTCTCAAAAGAGGTCAGCCGTGGCTAGCTCAGTGGTAGCGTCGCTGACTACAAAGCTGAATGACATTGGTCCGAATCTCAGGCGGGAAATCAGTCCCATCGAAGTTGTGGATACACCTCACTGATGAGTACCAAAAAGTGCGAAACCCAGGTTCAACTCTTCTTGCCGACTGCTTGCATCCAACTAACCCTGATTGTTTAAGGGTGATGCATATAACTACTACTTATATTTGCTACATTACTTGACTGTTATGTTTCCTATTTTAGCTGAATAAAGGTAAAACAATAATTGACAGTGGAACCACAAATATCTATTTACCGAAGAGAATTTTCCATCGTTTAGTTCGTGTTTTAAAAGCCAATGTAAAGAAAAATCCACAGCTGAATAAACTGGTTTCTAAAGTATCATTCTGGCATGGTCAAAAAGCTTACTGTTTAGTAGAAAGCAGTGAAGACAACAAGGCTATAATATATGGATCCTTTCCACAAATTGAATTCCAACTGGTTTCTAGTGTAAATACATCCAATGAAGTTCTTTCATTAATTTTCTCTCCACAGGTAAGCCAGTATTTTTGTCACCACAGTTTTACTGATAATAATTATTATTATTAGTCCCTTGGGTTCCTAATGAAACATAGGCCTTCAGTGGCATGTTTCCAGTGAGCTCTGTTCTCTGAAGTCCTATGAACCTGGCTCCACGACAGCCCACAACCTCTCATTTCCTCCTAGCAAGATCTCCTCCATGTCACCCTCGCCTCAGACGCCCAACTCGTCCCTTCCCATCGGGGTTCCACTCGAGGGCCTGACGCGTGATGTCCCCAGTCTGCCTTCTCAGCTTATGTCTAATCCATCTTCACTTTCTTCTCCATATTTGTTGGGTGAAAGTTTCTTGGTTGGTTCGTTCCCAGAGCTCCTTGTTGCTTATTCTTTCTGGCCATCTGATCTCTAGTAGCGAGCCAGCGTAAGCAGTTGCTGATGAATGTCTGTAGTTTGTTGGAAATCCCTTTCGTAACGCGTCGCCAAGTCTCTGAACCAGATAACAGCACTGACTTGACTGGGTTGGTGTTGAAAATCTGGATCATGTTCCACATGCTGAGTGCAGAAGATCTCCACACTGGTTTCAGGCTAATGAACGCATGTCTTGCTTTTCCGATTCTGACTTTGACATCTTCGTCTGTGCCGCCTATAGTTCAGACAGTGCTACCTACATAGGTGAAGGAGGTTACTTCCTTTAAGTTTCTCCCGTTGATGGTGATTGGAGTTTGTTGTTGTTCTTGTTGGATTTGTTGGTGCGGTATCTTCATCACTTCTGTCTTTTTTACATTCACTTGAAGTCCCGTCTTCGCTGCCCTGCCTCTTCTGTCAACTTGTTAGTTTTCGCCTGTAGATCTTCAAGTTTGTGTGACATCAGACACAAGTCATTGTAGAAATCCAAATCTTATAGGTTCTTTCACGCGGTTTAGCGTATCCCCCTCTTCTCGCTTCCCACTGGTTGTTGCATGATCCAGCCGACCACAATCAGGAATATCATGGGGGATAGTAGGCAACCTTGTTTCACTCCTGTCTTCACTTCAAAAGCATCACTGAGCTTCCCATTGTGAATTACTTGGCATGTGGCGTCTTCAATAGTTGTTGAATGAGGCGGATAAAGGTTTGCGGTACTCTGTAGTAATGTGGCAGTTTCCAAATTACCTCTCGGTCGACGCTGTCAAAGGCCTTCTCAAAGTCGATGAAGTTGAGGTAGAGAGCTGATTGCCATTCTATGCTCTGTTCTATGATGGTGCGTGGTGTAGCGTTGCAATTTGGTCTGCACATGATTTGTCTTCCTGAATCAAGCCTGCCTGTTCTGGTCGTAGTTTTGAATCCAGTACATCCTTTAGTCTCCCCAAGATGATGCGGCTTAGTATTTTGCTTGCTCTGAGTGGACAGGAGAGTGATTCATCGCCAGTTCTTGCAAACACTGAGGTCTCCCTTCTTCGGGAGTTTGACAAGGTAACCCTTCTTCCAGTCGCCAGGTATCTTCTCTTCCTTCCACACATTCTGTAATAGTGGTGTGGTGTGAGCATGTCCGCTGTTGTCTCTGTATCTGTTCTCAGTGCTTGTGGTGGGATTCCATCTGGTCCTGCTGCTTTCCCACATTTCAGTAGCTTTATGGCACTCAGGACTCCGACTTTTGTTGGAGGATTTATGTTGACTTGTAGTTCTGTGGCTGGGCGGCAGGTGGTATTTCTGGATGAGTTTCAGGTGTTGGTGGTCGATTCAAGAGCTTTTTGAAGTGGTCGACCCATCCTTTTCTTTTGTTTCTCTTCTTTGGTAATCAAATTTCCTTCATCGCCTTTTATTGGTTTCATCTGCTTTGATCTGTTCCCTGCTAGATAGTAATCTTGTTATTTGATACAATGTTGTCAGGTCTGTCTTACCTGCAGCCTGTTCTACTTCACTTGCCGGTATGTTGTAGAAGTGTCTTTCGTCTTTGCGTGCACTCTTCTTCACTTCTTTGTCCAGTGTATTGTTTTATACATTGTGCTCAGTTCGTGTTTTCGTTGTGCATTCTTGCACTGCACTGGTTTATCTTCTGCTTCACCATCCTCCTCTCCCTGCTCTATCAGCTTCCATGTATCCATTGAGATCCATTCCTTATCTTCTTTCTTCCTAATACGGTTGTGCAGGTTTCTTTCCACATCTCTTTCAAAGAGTTCCAGTGTTCTTCTACACAGATTTCTGCAGGGATGTTCCTTGATATCTCCCATTTTGTGTTAATGGCTGCCATGAAGATTTCCTTTGTAGTTTTTTCCTTCAGTTTCTTGTGTGACGGGTATAGTTTTAGTGTTATTGCTTGTATTATACCCCCGTTGACTGGACCGAATTGATCAGTCTCTGTTGGTATATGGGCTCCTATGCGGATGCCTCGATATTGCCTGTATTTCAACTATGCATAGTAATGCTGGGCAGTAGCTAGCAGTGGAATTCAGGATACGCATACGAGCAATAACATTTTTTTAAAAATGACAGTTCAAAATACGCATGTACCTTAATAAGAGACATTCCAGAATTCAAATAATAATAGTGTATACATTCTCAACATCTTACAATGCTACACACATACTCATAACTTACAACGTATTTTATCACTAATCACCGTAATCAGTCAAAGCATTTTTGATAGGTAAAAATGTCTAAATATCAAAGAGAATGTCAAGATTAAAATATCTAGGTGACCTAAAGTGTAAAAAAAAATATTTTTCATCTAGGTCAAGCATACTTCCAAAGTATATACATATATTTACGCTATGGAATGTTACATTGATAAAAATTACTCCTGAGTATAAAAATATTTAAGACATGTTTAGCTAGAGAATTCGAGGTAAATGTAACGATATAAACATTTGAGAATGTTTAATTTACTAATAAACCAGATAAACTAATGACATGGGTCATCACAATGCTAAATTATATACATTTTATAAATTAGAACATAATTAGAGCAAGTAAATCGAGTTTTTTTTCAGTTGGTTCTATGATGTACAGATTTAGAGAAATGCCGAACACTGGTATTAACTGTTCTTATTGCAGCCAGTTGTTATGTCAACGTAAATCCTACGATGAGCGACGTCGTACCAGTTGATTCATGGAGGAGATAAACTTATACTGCCAGCTCCATTGCTGCACAACACTGTATATTTGACACTAGGTGATGAATGAATGTGAAGCGCAACTTTGAGTGGCAGTAAGGCTAGAACTAGTGGTCTACCTGTTACCTACCTAATGTTCTACAAACTGAACCACGAGACACAGAATGCCGACTACTTGAGACAGCTATGGTTTTTACAGACTCGTAAATGGGTGAAACGAGAATTTGGTTCGGGATAGGATTCGAACCAGCGGTCATCAGACTACCGGCTCAGTGCTCTATCAACTGAGCTACGGGATCAAAATACTGACCTGAACTTAATTGCAAAATATATGACAAATGTTCAAGGTCTTAAGAGAGCAGGTGGGTTAATCAGAATGTCGTTGAATGTGAATAGAAGAAAGACATGTTATGGACATATGTGGTGGATTCTTTGTCGTCCTCATTCCTTTTGGATACCAGTACAACTTTACCCTTATGATAATGTATTGGAATCCAGTCTAATAACTGCTGTTTACACTTTCAATGGAAAGTTGAACTTTTATAGTTGAGGTACAAACAAATCGGCAATTCAAACCGTTAACAAGTTCCATGTATTCATTGAAACAGATATCCATATTTCTTAGTGGTGGATAATATTTGTGGCTTAGGTGAATCGTCTTGATTGTATTCTGTTATCTGAGCTGAGTTGTTTAATCATGGAGCTTTTATAGTCCTGTCTGACGACATCATCAGCACTGACTTCAGTAGTAAGTGAGCTGTCAATATCTCTCCGAGAGTGGTTCAATAGCTTGCCCTGACCAACTAGTTTGTGACTGGTAGTTTCCTTTGGGTTTTTTGTCCTTGATTGATTAGATCTTCCTCTTGGCTGTTCTTCTGCTTGATGTCTGACCTTTCTGTTGTTTATCATTTCTCCTAATAGTTGACAGATTGGGTCTATGTCTATACATCTATTGATTGCTAACTTACTAGGCTGAATAACAAGCTTCTAGGAATTCTCTGATATTCTCTCCGTTCAAGATTTCTACATTGTCAAAATTCAACTCATCTCTTCAGTTGTTATCCACGTACATTGAAATGAGTGATGAAATGTCATGTGTGACGTTTAATAACTAATTGGTGTTCATGTAGAAGTAGGTGGAGTGGGCGACCACTTTGTCCAATATAGTGTTGACTATAGAAATTGATTTTGTAAATGGTATTCGGTTTGACTTTTTTGGTTGTTGTGCCCTTCGGTCTGCATAATGGGGTTTAGAAGGGATTTATCATGCAGACCAAAGGACAATATACCGAATATCTTATACATGAAGTTTCAATAGTGTTTAAGATCGGGAAATAAGCTTTCTGGGAGTGATCAAACGACCTTAGGCAATAGTGTAATAAGAGTAAAAATAATGTTAGAAATTCATTTGAGGTTTATTAGGATTTTATTTATTTCTAGGTAGTATTCATCCCCGAAAACTTCAAACTAAAGTACTGTTAAGCGTTTATTAGTGACATACTTAGAGATGCATATCCTGAAATTCTGATGAAGAACTGTGACCTGTGGCATTACCCTATCGGAAGTGAAGTGGATACCGACCTAAGACCTTGGATGATAGTTATGCTATATCACAAACTAATAGAAATAGGAAATTGTCAACTATTATACTACTCCAACGCAGTGGCTAAATGGTAGACGCATTTGCCAACAGAAGTTGAGTAGTTCGGCTCTGTATAGTAAAGAAGAAATTACAAGTATCCTAACAACAAAAACAACAAGTAATATCCGTTGCACAAGAGGTGGCTATCTTTCTTCAGTGGCTTAATGGATAGAACTCTGGTGTTTGGAGCGATAGGTACTGGGTTCAAGCCTCACTGGGGTGGAGGTAAATACAGCTGATAAATCCCAAGTACGATGAAACGCGTGTATTGGATTCCTCTGCTAGTCACCAAGATCAATATAGCATTCATCTCGAGTTCTGAAGATACTGAGTCCGACTCCTAACAGGGTCATGCGTCCTGAAGGTAGGTAAAAATAACGTAACGCTCGATATGACAACACTGGAAAATGTTTAAAAAAAATTGCAATGCCTAATAGTAAGGGTAATAAGTAGCTTTTAGGAATTGGAGATGATTAAAGAGAAAGCTTAAGACAGTTGAGCAAAAATGATCTTAAGCAACAGACAAGATCCAAGCTAATATAATATGTAAAGAGTAACCAACACTTTGACTACAGTTACGGTGATTTAGCCTATTTCGTTAAAGGGGTAGTTAGTTAGTTTCTTTTTTTCCGCTGTCTTGTGACCTAATTCATCTCATGATTGATGGATTAAACTATGACGGATAGAATAGATGTGACCAGAATAAGGTACATAGTCGTCAAGTGTACACCTAAATATAAGAATAAAACTATGTAAAACGAAAAATGATGTTAATGATGGAAAAATGACTATCATTAGAATCCAGAAAGTATGTTTCAACCTGTTCAGGGCTATTCATCTGGATGTAATTACATCAAAGTAAATGGTGTTGCTCCCACTGAGATTCAAAACCATGACGAGTTTCTTCAGAGGCCAAACCGTTATCCACTGAGCTAGTAAGTTGTGATAACCATTCCATATGAGAAGTGCATAGTGTAGGCTAGATACCATACCTTGACATTATCTGTTGTTGATTGGACCGGAGTGATAGGCCACTATCAACATACCGGCTATGTAAATAGAGTCTTTAAGTTTAGGAGACTAGTTGGTTTTCACGATGGTTAGAGAAATGTTACCAGTGATGTAATTAATTCTATCACATACACTGTTACCAAACCTCAGTATGGAGTTTCTTGTGAATTCACTTCAAGCATAAAGAAAGAGTTTTTTGGTTAGGCTCTTAAAAAATTGTCCTTCCGTGAACGTGAAAATCTCATGGGTCAGTCACCAGTTCCTAGTACCTGTAGAATACCGACGCATACCAGACCAAGAAAGAATACAATAAAGTAGCTAGGTGGCGATAGTATATTTAGTAGACCGTGCAAAATGCCGATGCACTTCTGCTAATCGGGCATACACTGAGAAGACCATTCGGGGACATCATGCACCAGGCACTCTAGTGGAATCCAAAGGGTAACAATGAGTTAGGCGTCCAAGGCGAGGGTAACATGGAGGAGATCATGTGAGGAAGAAATCAAAAGTTGTGTGCAGTCGTGGAGCCAAGTCAAAAAGACTGAAGAGAACACAGTGAAATGACGACATGCTACTGAAGACCTATGTTCCACTAGGAACCCAAAGGACAAATACTAAAATAATAATCGGCTAACTCGGTAGAGGATCACCTACGAACAACGCAACGTAACACAACAACGCCTCAGTTAGCCTGAATGTTTGACCCTATACCTTCATCTTAACTAGTCAGTTAAAACTGTGAAGGTCAGCATAAGTGCAGAATTTCGTCGAACTTTAAGCCATTGATTTTAGGGAATTATTTACCGCTGCAGGCTGTTGAACTTTGACGTAGTCAGCAAACATTGTTTTACTCATCAAACTTTAGGGGTTAGGTAAAATATTTAACTACATAGGCTACTGATGGAGGCTTCTAAAAAGTATAATGATATGTCATGAGCACCGTCTACAGCCTAAAGAATTATACATATTACGCGGATTTATGTTTCAGGAATCCCTGAAACATACATATTGATATAAATATTACACGTTTGCTAAACCACAGCTATCTGAGGTAGTCAAACGGATAAGCAATATGATACTTTATCTAATTCACCTCGGTTTGGATTGGGCTGAGAAGTGCTGGAGGAGAATGTAAATTAATTAACAGTTCAATTTTTGAACACTTGGTCAACTCTGGACACATGTAGCTCGACCAGAATCCTCCTTCAGTGTCACCCACAGAGTCAAGGCGAACCGTTAAAAAGAAATACGTCTTCGAAAGTTATACACAGCAGAAGCAATGGCAATTCACTAATTCAAGCCTGATCTTTACGTCCAGAAGGAGTATGTTACATCTGTTATCTTACAATGATCTTAACACTTTCAAAACTCTGTCGATTTCATCATAATTAGTTAATCTATTATTATCACCTTCATTATGACCCTTGTCTCATTCTCAACCTTCTTCAAATCTTTCTATCAAGTAGGAAGTCGTGGGGCCAGGTTCAAAAGACTGCAGAGAAGAGAGTGCTATTGAAGCCCTATGTTCCACTAGGAACCCAAGGGACAAGTAATAATAATGAAATAATAATAATCAAGTGGACACTCAACCATTTCGCATGTCTCATCTGCCAACAATCTCAACCTTATCAAACTCCTTGGCTTCCTCGTTATTTCTACTGTCTAGAAGATTATTACGCAACTCCAGTATTTCCATTCTTGATCTCGGCTTTTTAACACTAGCTGGCTTAATGATGCAATATACCCTATTGTTTCATAATAGACTTATGTTTGCGACATATACAGAAACATGATTTTACGGCTTTAGAAAATCATGCTGTCGAAAAAGAAAAATTCCTTCTCTGAATTATCTCTTCTTTTAGTAATGATGGATAGGGGCTACCAGTGGAATCCAGGTTGCGTATATCGTCCTATTTGGGACTCGTCGGCTGGATGTACATGTCTTCCAGTGAGTGATGTTGTTCTCACAGGGATTCGAACCGGAGATCGATCGCTTCATACGCCACAGCTTTATCCACTACACCACCAAGCCTTGCTAGCGTTATTGCTTGTATTATGCAGTCGTTGATTGAACTGAATTCATCGGTCTCTTTTGGCATATGCCTATATGCCAGTAGAGACCGATGAATTCGGTCCAATCAACGATGGTATAATATAAACGACATTACTATCTCTTCTTTTCAGCATGACTTTGAATTAATCCGTGTCATTCAGCATTTCTTATTGCCATCAAAGCTCTAACCTATTATTACTTGCACTATATCTGTGTTTGGGATTTACTTGGTTACACAGTTATTTATATTACTTTTTTTACGTACATTACTTATTTTGTCTCTGACAGCAATATATTCGTTATCTTGGTCAAATAACTCGACATAATGAAAATCGTGATTGTTTCGCCTTTGCAATACAATCAACTCGCAGATATACAATACTGGGTTCAGTTTTCCTTGAAGCTTATTACACAGAATTTGATCAAGAAAATATGAGGGTAAATTATTTTTCCAATTTTATTGGTTTATTTCATTTATCATATAGTGTAACAGTACTGTTTACTGCATTACAAATGGCTGTAGGAACTTGAAACAATTAGTCCCTTTTATGAATTTGGATAATTAGGAGACGTAAATTATCTGAATAACATGTGATGTATTAGCGCTATACATTTCGAACAATCTGATCACACATTTACTTGTCATAAGGCACTATATATGAAAACTGGAAGTGGGGGAAGGACAAAAATGACATAAAGGAATTCAATAGTAAGAAAGATAATGAGAGGAAAAAAAAAGATAAAACTTGAAGACAATCTTGGTAATACGATAAAATAAGCATTACCAAGGTAGGTTTACTCAGCATGCGGAACAAGATGCGGATTTTCAACACCAATTCAGTCAAGTCAGTGCTCTTGTATGGTTCAGAGACTTGGCGCGTCACGAAAGGCATTTCCAATAAACTACAGACATTCATCAACAACTGCTTACGCTGGCTCGCTACTGGAGATCAGATGGCCAGAAAGAATAAGCAACAAGGAACTCTGGGAACGAACCAACCAAGAACCTATCACTCAACAAATATGCAGGAAGAAGTGGAGATGGATTGGTCATGCACTGAGAAGGCCGACTGAGGACATCACGCGTCAGGCCCTCAAGTGGAATCCCAATGGGAAGCGACGAGTTGGACGTCCAAGGGTGACATGGAGGAGGTCGTGCGAGGAGGAAATGAGAGCTTGTGGGCTGTCGTGGGACCAGGTTCAAAAGATCTCAGAGAACAGAGGTCACTGGAGGCGTGCTACTGAAGCCCTATGTTCCACTAGGAACCCAAGGGACTAATAATAAAATAATAATAAGGTAGGTTTAACGTAAGGGCAAACTGTTTTTGCACCTCCACAATGGGGGGTTAAATTTATTTATAGCTTGCGCCTCAACAAACTTAGGTATACACCCCTGACAGTTTCTAAACTAAGTTGTAAAGGCTGCTTTAATATCAATCCTGTGATTCTTATCAATGATATGTTTTGTGATGGATGATGATGGTTGTCTGCCATCTGCGCTTATCAATGTTTGTGAATTCAGTTGCTTTCGTAGCCATTTTGCAACATGTTCTCCTACCCTCAAGTGCATATCACGATTAGTCCTCCCTATGTATGTTTGTCCACACACATGTAAATTTATAAACGCAGTGGGATGTGACGCAGTCGTTTATACAGCATTGAGGTCTAGGTTGCAGCAGGTGTTTGGTCTTCTCAACTATGATAAGCTTAGCTGCATAGTACGTTTTGCTAACAGGAGACCTTAACCTTCGCCTTAATATTATGCTGTTACATTCTCCTCTGCATGGTAACGCGATGTAAATGCATTTCTTCAAAACAGTACAGATTAGGCTTGAATCCTTGCTGATTTTTGCAACGGTTTATGAACTTCAATGGATATCCATTTTCCACTAATTTTCCCGTTAGTATTTTGATATCATCATCTATTGAGTCTTCCGTACAAATAGGCTGGATCCTTTTAAATAGGCGAGTTACCAAACCTCGCTTGTATTGGGTTGGACAAAAGCTATGGAAACTTAAATACTGACCTGTCCAAGTGGGTTTCCTGTAAATCGACCGTTTTATTGAACCATCATTTCTACTACTTAAGGGTATATCCAAGAACGGCAGACGGTTTTCTTTCTATTCTTCACATGTTAGGCTTATGTTGTTTTGTAAGATATTAAGTCTTTCTAACAAAAATGTCGCATCTTCATGCTTGTCACATATGACGATTATATTGTCAGCGTATCTTTTATAGAGAGTAACTTTACTGATAAGATCGCCTGTCAAGCTTTCAATGTGTGATATGTAAATATCAGCTAGCAATGGTCCTAAGGGACTTCCCATGCCCACATCATCTATTTGTCGAAAATGTTCACCTTCAAATGTGAAATAAACTTTATCAGTACACAATAATAACAGCTCTCTCAAACACGTTGAGGGGATAGGGAAAGAAGAACTACTGGAAGATATATGGTCACAAAGAATGTCAGTGGTTTTAATTAGGGGTACATTAGTAAATAAGGAGTTGACATCAAAGGAATACAACCTCTTATCTTTGATATTAATATCACTAATATAATCAACAAGTTCAAAAGTACCTTTTAAAGAAAACTTATATAATTCATTTCGATTAGGAATTAAAGTTTTTGCTAACCATTTCGCCACTTTATGTGTAAGTGAACGGAACATGAAGAGTATAGGACGTAAAGGATTATTTGTTTTATTATCTTTCTTATTATTGAATTACTTTATATCATATTTATCCTTCACCCACTTCCAGTTTCCATATATAATGCCTTAACAAGTAAATGTGTGATCAGACTGTAGGAACATTTAGTCCAACTCCAAAAATATGGTTTCCATATGTAGACGGCACGTTTACAGAGTTGAAGTTGGGGCACATAGTTTCTTCACACATATAAATTCAGTAGTCAACGCAATCCAATTCACCTATAAATTGGGAAATAGCGAAGGAGAGTTAGCGATGTTGGATTGCTGAATAAAACGGTAACAAGATCTGAGTTTAAACACTAATGTCTACAGAAAACCTTCACATTCAAACGGTTACTTAGACTTCAAATCATCTCACCCTATGTCAGTTAAACTTGGCTTAGTAAAGTGTCTAAGCAACAAAGCCAAAAAACTTACTAGTAAAACAGATCTGAGAAAAACCCAGACAAACTAAAGACTCCTTACTCATCAACAGTTAACCTCCCAAATTAATTGATAAGTTCTTTAGGAATCGTAAGAAAAATATTAGTAACAGGTGTTAATGGTGGTAGTATTAATAATAATAATAATCATAATAATGGTGGCAATATCGTGAAGAGAGAATCCGAAACCTCTACAGAATTACCATACAAAGAAGGTACCTTAGAAATACTACTTAGGATTCTCAATAAGGTTGGGGTGAGAGTGGTACTTAAACCTACAAACTCACTTCGAAATAAGCTTTGTAGGTTAAAAGATCCTAATGATCCAATGAAGCAGAATAACTTGGTTTATCAAATCCCTTGCAACGATTCCCAGGTCTAATATGTAGGTAGGTCAAAGTAGTTTACCAGAGTCAGTTAAACTATCCAAGTATGAAAATTTAGTAAGGTCAAAACTGGGAGATCCTAGTAAAGTAAGGGATTTAGGAAAAGGTTCAGCCTTAGCTACGCATGCGATTAAGCAAAACTATGCAAATGGATGGAACAGGGTGAAAATCCTTAAAGATAACATAACAAGGTGGAAGGAAAAATCGATAATTTTACAAACGTCTCCCACAGGTACATAATCATTCGTCTTGCATGCATTGAGTATGGATTCGATAAACCCAGATTCCGTTATCAATATCTTCCTCCATCCAACTCATATTATTCTCCCAAGTTCCTAGCAGAATATAGGGATCCAGCAGAACGTCTCCATTCCAACCTCTTCTCTTCAGTCTTATGAACCTGACGCCACTACTGCACACAAGCTTTCATTTCTTCCTCACACCATCTCCTCCATTTCACCCTCAGCTGGGACGCCCAACTCGTCGTTCCCCTTTGGATTTCACTTGACAGCCTGGCCTGGAGCGAGATCTCCCCAATCCGCCTTCCCACTGTATACCCAATCCATCTCCACTTTCTCCTCCATATTTGTTGGCTGATACGTTCTTAATTGATTCGTTCCCAGAGTTCTTTGTTGCTCATTCTTATTACTCTGGCCATCTGATCTTCAGTATCAAGTGAGCGTAGGCGGCAGCTGTTGATGAATACCTGTAGTTTGTTGGAAGTAATTTTCGTCAAGCGCCAAGTTTCTGAACCATACACCAACAACAACTTGACATTCGTGTTGAAAATCCAGATCTTGTTCACACTTTATGCTGAGTGCAGTAGATCAATGAAAGCCTGTCTTGCTGTTTTCCGATCCTGGCATCTTTGGCATCCTCATCTGTGGCGCCACCACCTGTAGTTGAAACGATGCTGCCCTGCCTAGGTATCTGAAAGAGACTACTTCCCTTAGCTTTCTCCCATTAATGGTGATTGGTGCTTCTTGTTCATGATCTTCTTCGTTGGGTATCTTCATCACCTCCGTCTTTTCTACATTCACCCGAACTCCCGTTTTCGCTGTCTTGCCTCTTCTGTCAACCTGTCCGTTTTTGCCTACAGATCTTCGAGTGTGTGCGACAAGACATTAAACATAAATCATCATTGGCGGTGAAATCCAAATCTTCCTTTAGGGTCTTTCCATAGGCCCATTCAGTGTATGCCAATCTTCTCGCTCCTCACAGTTTGTTGCATGCTACCGTCTAGTCCATCACAATCAGGAAGATGATCGGTGACAGTAGGCGGCAGCCTTGTCTTACTCCTGTCTTCACCTCAAAGGCGTCACTGAGCTTTACAATGTGAAGAAATTGGCATTTAGCATCATATAACATATAGCATTTGAATGAGGTTGATATAGGCTTGTGGCACTCCGTAGAGTTGAAGCAGTTTCCAGATTACTTATCGGTCGACACTGTCGATGGCCTTTTAAAAGTCGATAAAGTTTAGGTTGAGTTGACTGCCATTCTATGCTCTGTTCTATGATGATGCATGACGTAGCGTTGCAATTTCGTCCACACATGATTTGTTCTTCCTAATGCCAGCCAGCCTGTTCCAGTCGCAATTTTGAATCCAGCGCACCCTTTGGTCTCTCCAGGATTATGCGGCATAACATTTTGCTTAAGGTGGACAGCAGTATGATTCCGCTCAAGTTCTTGAAAATAACTAAGGTCTACCTTCTTCGGGAGTTTGACAAGGTAGCCCACCTTCCAATCAATCGGCAAGTATCTTTCCTTACTCCCTTCCTTGCAAACCTTCTGCAATAGTGCTTTGAGCATGTCCTCTGTTGTCTCTCCGTCTCTTTTCAGTGCTTCTGGTGGAACTCCATCTGGTCCTGCTGCCTTCATGAATTTCAACGTTTTATGGCATTCACGACATCACTTCTGCTTTTGCAGGAGGGCCTGTGTTCACTGGTAGTTCTGCCGTCGCTGGTGGTATTCATGGACGAGTTGAACTTCGTGGTCGTGGTCGATTCAAGAGTTTTTTCAAGTGATCAGCTCATCCTTTCCTTACTTTCGCCTCTCTGGTAACTAGCTGTCCTTCACTATCTTTCATTGGTTTCGTCTGCGTTGATTTCTTCCCTCACAGATAGTAACCTGGTTATTTGATTTAATGTTGTCAAGTCTCTGTCTCTCCTACCTGCAGCCTGTTCTGCTTCACTTGCCAATGTGTCCTAGAAGTATCTTTTATCTTTGCACACACTCTTCTTCACTTCTTTGTCTAGTGTAGTGTTTTATAGGTCTTATTTAGTTCCACTTTTCATTGTTCATCCCTGCACTGCACTGCATTGCACTGCCTCATCTTCTGCTTCACCATCTTCCTCTCCCTCCTCTCTCTATCACCTTCCATGTGTCCGCCGAGATACATTACTTGTCTTGTTTCCTCTTCCCTCCTAACGCGGTTATCCAGGCTTATTTTCACATAGCCTTCAAAGAGTCCCAGTGTTCTTCCACTCCAAATCCTTCAGGGATGTTCATCAATATCTCCCATTTTGTCCTGATGGCTGACTGACGTGAGGATTTCCTTTGTAGTTTCGTCCTTCAGTTCAGTTTCTGTCCTGGGTGTTCAACTTCAACTGTGGCCGATCACCAGCTTCTTTGAAGGCTTTCAACTTGATTTGGTAGGTTCATTCCACTAGATAGTGAGTGGTGTGAATCTACACCTGCTCCACTTCTTCATCTGATCTTGTGTCCACTGTCTTCACATTGAGATGAAGTTGATCTGATTTTCAGTGTAGTGTCCTGGCGTCTGGTGAAATCAAATACATGTCGCTTTGTGAATATACTATTGTTTGTACACACTGCCTCCAATCACCAAGTCGTTGAATGCGCGAAAATCTGCAAACTGTCCTCCGTTCTCATTCATTTCACCGAGTGCTTCTCAACTCATGGTGAGTTCTCTTCTTGTGTTGTCTGCTCCCATTTCGGCATTCATGTCACCCAACCCATAAGAGTTTTGATGTCGCCAACTGGAGTCTTGTCTAGTACTGATTGCAATTGTCTGTAGAATTCCTCCTTCTTCTCCTCTTGGCCAGCATTATTTGTAGGTACAGAGCATAGCATTGTATGATTGTGACTTTCCTTCCTTTTTAGTTGAATTTCGCTGTCATGATCCTGGTCGCTGAGGAGATTGGTTCCCACTGCATCAGAGCCTTCGATGCTCTCGGGGACATCATGATAGCCATTCCAAAACTCAGTGTGCTCGTGGTTTTCGTGTCGTCTGGGTGACAATATCCGAGTAGATTATTGACTCTTCAGTTGACGCTTGAGAGAGTCCACTCCCATTCCACCTGCTTTCGCAGATTTCCAACCTGGCACTTCCATGTCACACCTCTTCATCTCTTTTGCAATCTGGGCAGTCTTGCTAGGCTCATACATCATTCGGACATTCCATGTCCCATTCTCACTTTCGCTTTCATCAAGAGAGAGAAGACACATCAGCCAATTGCCTCTCCAAGGATTTCACCAACCGGAGTTATTTCGTCTCTCCGATTCCAGTGAGGAATATGTTTGTTTCTATTTTTATTTATAATTTCTTTGTGCTTTCAAGTTTCTTTAGCGGTTGGATTGGTTTTACGGGTAGGTTTGCTAGCCCTATGTCCAACCTTACCTCTTTACCCGGGCTATTAGCGGCCAGCAACTAGTGAACTAGTTAACCAGGGGAGGTTTCAAACAACTAACTTACTTATATAGTATAGAAGTTGTTTGAACATCATGCATAACACATGTTTCATTCACCGAAATACATAGTTTAAGATGATTTCAGCGGAAGAATGACGCTCTCCACCAAACACTTCACAATTATCTACGAAGACAGCAGTACTAGTTAAAACATGACAGAATTTGGGGCCAGGTGACAGAACCAGTACTCAGGTGATACCTGTTTATGTATTATACAGTAAATAAAATCTTCGTCATAACCTTTTTTTACTTTTGTATCTCTAGATAGGATTTACTAATTCACCATGTACCACATACACAAATATCACTGGTATACCGGTATCTAAAGTAAATGGATTGAAGCAATGGAGTAATACTTATCAACAAATATCCAAGGTGATGAATACCAACCGTGTCATTTCATCACCATTCGATTGCGCTGTATATCGGCCTACAAAAGGTGAACACTTGACAAGATTTATGAATATCCTTACAATAACATTTTGGTTATCGTTGACAATGTTTGTTTTTTTATTCCTTTATTAGTTTTGTTAAAGATTAAATGTTTAGATAAATAATTGAATAATTCATCTTACTTCACGTTGATATCATGCAGCAAAACTTAACCTGTAGAATATTGTTTTAGATATGGTTTAGTCAATGAACAGGAATTTTGAATCAAAGTTTCACTACTTTTAGCCAAACCTTAAGGCGACTATTATTTCACCAGATGATTAATTCTACAAACAGTATAGGAGATGGAGGGATCAACGCTGACTGAAGTGGGTCAATGGTGACTTTCTTGATAGGAACAGTGGATGGTCTAGGTTCAAATATCTGATACAGAATGAGTTTCCTTGTAATTGCCAATAAACAATGAAACTTCAGTTCAGAGGTGACTGCTGATACCTCAATACATTCAATATTCAATACAGCCCACATCTATGTCCTACTAATTAGATTGGTCACCGCTTGCCAAACTTATGTGATAAAATTCGGTTAAGTTTTAAAACTAAACAATCAGACAGTAGTTATTATCCAGTGATCAACACTAATCAACTACCAATAATTAACTGACTATAAGTGACGTATTTAGTAAGAAATAAAGTTCAGAAGCACGAACCGGTAAAAATGGTTTCAGATTTTCTATCTGTTTCTGCTTCTCTGCATCATTTTAGTAGCACTGATACCCACATGGTTTCTGTTTAACCCAACCTGGAATTCTAGCTGAAGCATGTCCCAGCTAGAAAAAGTTCGGAGAGGGCCATGCACTTTCGAACTGTTAGTCTGAGCCAAGAAGAAATACTTAGACTTCGTGGTTGTGGTCCATGTGATACATGAAAGTGGCTGTTGCATAAATTCTTTTCAAATATGATCTGCATCCTAGATCCCACTATTAGCTACTATCCATCATCATTGTCAAAGTCGAAAATACCGCCAATATCTAAGTATTTTGAGTGCTTCTTGAGGTGCTTCAAAATGAAGAGGTAGTCTGTGACCACAGAGCCCAGGAAACACCTGCTTGAGGCCGGTCATACACAGTCTCTTCGCAAGTTTGAGATTTCAGTTTCTCGCTTTCGAATCCAACTATGAATCCCAGTCGTAGACACCGGTATGCCGCGGAGAGATGGGAGTGACCTATTTTGAGGGCTGATCTTTCATTTAAGAAAGGCAGCATCAATATAGCACTACTGGTCATTCAAGAGAAACACTGTACTGCAGTCATACCCCATCCAGTCATTAGCACAACTTCGACCTCCGACTCCCATCACAAAGTAACAATTTACTCTATAGTGGTAACCGCTTTTTGTCTAACTACTATCCGACAGACCTTTCTGGTATGTTAGGATCTCGAGGAAATAAGCGCCACACTAGCATGGCTTGCCTGGTCACTGAGACAAACAAGTGCGACTATCAAGTAAAGGTAGTAGCTACCTGTCAGCATCTAGGTATTTGCACAGAAGACTATATGCCAATAATGGCCGATCAATTCGTCCTAATCAACAATACCAAAACCATACTGTCCTTGTTACACAGGGAGTGGCTACCACGACTCAGATACCTAGTGGAAAGCACTCTGGTGTTTGAAGCAATCAGTCCAGGATTCCAGTGTTTCTTGGTATAAGACCACTCACTGGTAGGCTCACTGGCGAGTCTCAAACGCGACGAACCGTGAGCCCTAAATTTACTGCTAGCCAACATCCATCACTAGTAACCAAAACAGTATCAAATAACTAGGCTGAATAATTTGTATGTGAAATTCTAAAGCCTAACGAAAATTTACCAGAAGTATGCATTTACTTGAATTGTGCATTTTAATAGGAAGGCACTTGAAGAGCAATAAATAACCACGAACTTTTTCAGTAAATATTAAATTATTTTAAAATGACGGATATATGGTCCATCTTCAAAACATGAAAAGGTCACTGTCACTCTTTATAGTAATGATCCTTGATCCTTTCCTGTCGAAGTACTCGACCTCTGTTGCCGGATGAGCACTTATGGGGCGCACAATGCCCCAGTGGCTCAGTGGATAATGCTCTGGTGTTTGGAGCGAAGGGTACTGCGTTCGAGCCTCATTAGGAACATCACTCCGCACTGCGGTGCAGCCGACGAGTCCCAAATAAGACGAAATGCGCATCCTGTGTTCCTCAGCTAGTCACCAAGATCAATATTCAACTGTCACTCTTCATCAAATATATGCAAAGCAGTGTTTAATTCTATAGCATGACCCACTTGAAGAAGATATATACGCATGAAACTGCTAGGTTTACTTTAATATCTCAGTGACAAGTATTTTGATACAAGTTTAAACATTTCTGGTAAGAAGCAGAGTCTTCTAAACACTTTGAGTAGGAATTTGAGAATGTTTGGGATGCGTTTCTCACCACCAAAATGCGAATTGTAGCTCCACGATTAATCTTCAACGGTGCCCCATCGTGGCTAACAATAGAGATAGAAGTGGTTGAGTTTGTAGACCACTTCACTTACATGGGAAATAAGATCAAACCTGGTAGGTTAGTTGCCGATGAAATCTCTGCACAAATACAAAAGGCTCGGTTGGCTTTCACCAACTTACACCACCTGCAGTGCCACCGTGATATCTGATTGTCTATCAAGGGTCGAGTGTGCTACACAGCAGTCCGGTCTGTTCTACTGTATGGCTGTGAAACATGGCCATTGAAGGTGGAAGACATGAGAAGCCTTGAAGTGTTTGACCACTGTTGGCCTCGTAGTATAGGCTGTATTCTATGGTGTCACCATGTGAGTAACGCAGAAGACAGGTGGAGAGTTTTAGACAGGAGAGGTAAGACAGTTGACTAGGTTATGAACCTTCATCGACTGAGATGGTTGGCTCCGATATGTGTTACATATGCCTAGTCACCGATTGCCTCGTCACACAATGTTGGCCGAAGTAGGTTCCAACTGGAAAAAGGCTCGAGGTGGTCAGACTAGAACATGGCATGGGATGAGTGTATGAAGTGTTTGACTGTTTGTTTGAGCCATGTGGGGCGATGCAGACTAGGTGGTTGAGGTCCGTGGGAGAAGAGGAACCAGTAGTTGGAGACTGATATGCCTCAGAACCGATGTTAGTGGAGCAGATGTAAGCATACATTATCTTCATCTTAAGACGTTATATCAAATCTCACTATTTTCTCATTCTTCCTTTCTCTGTTTTAGTACTTAGTATTTCTTCTGACTGAATTTTATTTTCTTCATCTTCCACTTCACTGCCTTTTTACTTGATGTACTGTTGTGATGTGTGGCAACTCGGACCGTTATGCCTAGTCCCGTCTTGATAGTGATGACGATTCCTGGGGTGAGAATTTTGTCTTGATTCTTATGACTTACTTGCTACTGTACATAGAGGTTAGTGAAAACAGAACCAGAAATGACCAAAAGAAGTTTCATATCCAAGTAACAATGAATTAAAAAAATAGGGGAAAAGAAATCCTGTCAACATCTACACAAAAGTTCATGCAGTCAACAATGAGCCATACCTATTTTGTCTAAAAGCTAATGATACTATTTGGTTAACAAACACTTAATAGTTGGGGTAGGGTTCAAACTAGTGACTTATCGACTGAAAGTCAAACTCCTTGACCACTGAGACACAGCTCACAAGTAACGTTTCTTGAGTATACTTCACATGAAACAAATGACAACTAATTTAGAAATAAGAAATATAAACATTTACTGGATGTGTTTGGTGAATTTAAAAATGAGTTAATTCTGGGGTTTATGAAGATTTAGTGATTTTTCAAGTTGGTATTCATCAAGGACTGGTCTAGTGTTCATTGGTGAATAGCTTCGAGAGGCTATTCCCCAAGTCCCGATGAGAATTCGTCACTCGTGGTTGTGAGGACAACTACTCAGCGATGAAATTAGGTGGTGGAAGCACAATATCGTGAACTGATAGAATTTGGAAATATGGACCACTGGATTTAGACCCAGTGGTTCAATGGTAACGTGCTGGCCACGGAACCTGAAGGTTCTGGGTTTGACCCCGAGCGGCCGGGTCACGGGTTTGTACTGCTGAAGAGTCTCATACTAGAACAAAACAGCTACTCAGGGCTCCCAGTATTCCTCCAACTGGCGCCAGTCAGTAGTGAATACCCACTTGAAAGGATTTTCTCCTGTAAACAGTAGATTGACCCAACAAGTTCTTTTCGGTGGCAGTCACTTATTTTAGTATTTCATTTTCAAGCTATGATTGCCTGTTAATGAGCTGTTAGCTGGAGTTTCCTTACTAGTCCATGCTGGCTTACAAGGATCTCCACTCAGAGGTGAATTAACACAATGTAATCAGAAGAGGATAGTTATCTGAGAGGTTATGCGGTGTATTTGTGGAGCGACTTCAAAGGCCACCCTAGCAGCTGCTGTTATAACCAATCAGGTTACGGTATTCTAGCATTGGACGACAATTTTTCATACAATAGCGAAACATGATCAGTTATTTGATCAACTGTTAGGGTGGTTTTTAAAGTCAGTATTATTTTGTTTGGTTTTAACGAGCATGTATTTGAACAGGCCTCGACGCCATTTTTACGCTCCCTTTGTGCTAGTTAGCGCGCACGTACTCAGAGTCCTAGTCCAGCCTTACTAGCCAGATAAGTTGAATAAACTTCCCCCTAATCCATTAATATTACATTTATTCTACTTAAATATATTACTTCTTCAAGTATATTCCTGAAACTAGTTCCTTTGAGTCCCAGTGTTCTTCCACTCCAAATCCTTCAGGGATGTTCATCAATATCTCCCATTTTGTCCTGATGGCTGACTGACGTGAGGATTTCCTTTGTAGTTTCGTCCTTCAGTTCAGTTTCTGTCCTGGGTGTTCAACTTCAACTGTGGCCGATCACCAGCTTCTTTGAAGGCTTTCAACTTGATTTGGTAGGTTCATTCCACTAGATAGTGAGTGGTGTGAATCTACACCTGCTCCACTTCTTCATCTGATCTTGTGTCCACTGTCTTCACATTGAGATGAAGTTGATCTGATTTTCAGTGTAGTGTCCTGGCGTCTGGTGAAATCAAATACATGTCGC